TGCAGCCCCTGAAACATTTGTTCTACTTGCTATCCCTATAGGTTCATCAGTCCTGGGTTCCTTTACTGAAACACAGGAAAACTATCACAGCTTTAAGTGGGTAACCCTTCATGACATGACACCAGTCTTTCTGCCCTGGAGATGTTGGTGGTTTTGAACTGCAGACCATATGGCTTGCTGTCCAAAGTTTAGCTACTTCACCACCAGGACACCTTTTATGTATTTTTTATATGTACCATATGATATTAATTATACCTAGGCCAGCCATATATATCTCAGCAACCAGCTTATCTCAGTAATAATTTTTTTCTCATGGTCTCCATGTATTTTTCTTGTTACGCCGAATGTCATAAACCTTGAATAACATCATGGGACTCATAAGAGGTGCTACTAGTGATGCTGGAAGTGTTCCCAAGAAGCAGAGAAAAGTCATGACATTGCAACAAAAATATATTTTGTATTATTGAAGCATACATTGAGGTCTGCAGCTGTGGTTGCTTGCCATTTTAATATGAAATTAATCTGGCATATAAACCATTCTAAAAAAAAGGAACATTTTTTTTGAAAGAAAGAAATGTGTGAAACTCACTTCATCTATGCCAGCAGCAAGAAAATTTGTACTTTTAGTGAAATATCCTTTCATCTCGTGTTGAAAGTGCTGCTTTTATGTGGTTGTAGTATATGATATATAGAACTGATAAAAATTGTGTTAATTTACTGAATTATCATAAACGGTTCCAATGATAAAATTTTTAGGGAGTCAAAATTAATGTGCAGATTTTTTATGGGGGGGGTGATCTTTAATTCCCCACACTGTCCAGTGGCAAGTATACTGACCTTAAAGTTATTTTCAGAAATAAATGTGCTTGGAACATTTTATTCTGTATACAATTATTCCTGAATTCCTCTTGTGTGAATTTATCATGCATCTAGTCTCCCTGATTTCAAACAGACTTGTACAAGGAACTGTTGATGCCTAGCTTCCTGACAGAATGCCAGGTTAGTGGAAAATAAAACCAACCTCTTGACTTTTCACAAAATGTGTTGGTTGGAGTTTTTGGAAAGGTCCAGTCAGCACTTTGGTTTCCTGAACCACTTTGTAAAGCCCAAAGGAGTGCTCTACAAGAGGGTGATTTTGAGGGGCCATTGAACACAGAACATTTTTCCAATTACAGAAACACCTGCATGGCATGGCTTTATGCTGATCTGTTGTGAGCATTTTACAGAGTGTTTAACAGTCCTTCAAATCCCTCATTCTGCATTCCAAAACAGGCTAGGAGTGTTATTGGCATGCTAAGACCTATAGGAAGTTTCTCAGTGGGGTTAATTTGATACCCTACCCACAATTTAGAATGTTTGGCCTGGTACATTCTCAAATGCCACCCATAGACACTCTAAGTAAGATCCCCGCCCCCTGTGTATTGACTTTTTTGGGGGGGCAATGTATTATTTACCTATTCATAGTGAGAAGCGTTTTTTTGGAAAAAGCAATGACTCAGCTCTATAGTAGAGAAACGGTTTGCATGGGCAAGAGATGCTGCTGCAAGCCTGTAAAGATCTTGCCGCAGACCCCCTCCCCCTCCCCCCACACTCATACACACTGCTTTGTTTCCTTCTGTCTTTGTGAACTATGTGGTTCAGGTAAGGCCATGAGTTTTGAAATTTTTAAAAAATATCTATTGCTTAAAATAAAGATGTGCTTTGTTGCCGGAAGACCTGACAATATTACCTTAATTATTTCCGTTTACCCTTGGGGAAATGCCGTGCTCACAGCAGCGCTATGAGTGGTGGGATTTTCAGCTCTCTTTTGGTGTAGGTAGTAAACAGGAAAGCACGAATATAAAGTTTATCTGTATTTATGCAGTGGTTATAAAAAATAACAGCACCCACTTTTAAAGTGCTGCACTAGCATTTAAAAAAAAAAATCCTGATAACTGTACTTTAAAATATCCTTTGAAGGAAAACATTAATGAGGTAGTATTGTTTACTTTTCTAGAGACAAAAATCACATCTGGAAAATGTTTCCAGTTTTATTGTTGTCACTTAAAATTTTTAAGGCTGGTTGGTCATAAGATAAAATGCAAAATTAACATGGCCTAAATGTTTTCT